TTCTTTCTCTAATTGCTTTAGGTCCAAGGTTAGGGTGTTTATTTGAGTTGTTTCCTGTTTCTTAAGGTAAGATTGTATTGCTATAAACTTCCCTCTTAGAACTGCTTTTGCTGCATCTCATAGGTTTTTGGTCATCGTGTCTCCATTGTCATTTGTTTCTAGGTATGTTTTGATTTTTTCTTTGATTTCTTCAGTGATCACTTGGTTATTAAGTAGTTTTATTGTTTTGCTTCCATGTGTTTGTATTTTTTACAGACCTTTTCCTGTAATTGATACCTAGTCTCATAGCATTGTGGTTGGAAAAGATACTTGGTACGATTTCAATTTTCTTAAATTTACCAAGGCTTGACTTGTGACCCAAGATATGTTCTGCCCTGGAGAATGTTCCATGAGCAGTTGAGAAAAATGTGTATTCTGTTGTTTTTGGATGATCTGTCCATTGGTGAAAGTGGGGTGTTAAAGTCCCCGACTATGATTATGTTAGTGTCTGTTTCCCCTGAAAAAGGTATTTTTCACAAAAAAATGAAATTGAGACAGAAGCTGTGACATAGCCCCAATTCTACCATAGCTGGCTATGTAATTTTAAGTAATTCACTTAACTTGCTGCGCTTCCATATCTTTGTACGTAAAAAGAAAGAGGAAGGATGGCACTAGTTGACTGGTAGTGTGCTACAGTATATAAAAGGTTGATTCCTTGCTTTTGTATTGAAATTGGCTAAACACATCTTACAAGAGTCCTTTTTTTCTAAAGTATTTTTTATCTATCTAAAATAAGTAAAAGTAATTAACTCAGAACATTACCTTGATCTACTTTCTCTTTTTCATTTTTAAAGAACACTTAGTTATGTTTTTATGAGATATCAGGGACTTGATAGAGGGATAAATATATTGCAATGTAGAACAGATTTTAAAACGCTTAAAAGGGAGGGGAATTCCCGGGTGGTCAAGTGGTTAGGACTCTGCGCTCTCACTGCTGAGAGCCTGGGTTCAATCCCTGGCTGGGGAACTAAGATCCCACAAGCCATGTGGGGTGGCCAAAAAAATAAAAACTCTTAAGGGAATGACCATGTTACATTTTCTAAAAGGGCCTATTTACATAGTAGGCACTCAAATAGAGGTCAATCATCAGGTTACTATATGTTAAATATATAATTTAGATATAATAAACCCATGTTAAAGATTGCAGTTTGGATTGAGTCACTATAATGCTTACTTTTTGACCTAATGAACTGCCTGTCAGTGTGAAATTCAATTTTTTTCTTCATATATATATATATTTTTTGTCTTTAGGTTAACATAATTGAACCTACTTTCAAAGCAGAAGAGAATGAAAAAGTTGATTCCAAAATGAAAGCTTTCAAGAAACCATTGAGTGTGTTTAAAGGGCCCTTATTACACATCAGGTACTAGTTGAGGATTTTATTAACTATGCTTTCATAATATATCTTGATCCTTTTGAGGGAACTGCAAAATTAAGAAAACTTCTGGCCTGTTTTTGAAACTGTGGAAATATAAAATTAAGGGTTATCTGAAGACTCACATTGGTTTCCAGATATAGTGGGTATTTGTAGCTACCTTTTTGTTATTTATTCTGTTGAGTGTGTTTAAAGGGCCTTTATCCCACATCAGGTAATAAGAGTGAATATTCATATATTAACAACAAATCTGAATGACATATATTTTTCTCATTTTACTGATAGTGTTTGACTTGCACAAGTTTGAGGTTGCCAGAAATGACACTGAAGTAGCCATTTATCAATTTGACCTTCCAAAAGCTAAAGCTGAACCAGAAAAATAGGGTTTTTACCAAAGCCGAATTTCAGCACATCTCTATTTTTCTGTCTAGGTTGTTCAGTCCAAAAATTCAGTATTGTTTCCTTATCATGATGTAAAGACCTTTCTCACTAATGATGCTTTTGGTTGGTAAATCTGTACAGCCTTATGTTAATACTGCTTTACCAACTTTATTTAGTAATGGCCTACTGTATCATTTTCTATCCCTTTACTTGAAACCTTTGTATGTTACTGTTAAAGACTCATGAACAACAGAACCAGACATTTTAAACATCAAATCTGAAATTCTCTGACAAGATTGGTTTGTTTACATATATTTTGAAAACTGTTCTATTTGGATTTATCTTCACCATCTGCAGGAGTCTGTGTGTGAGAGGGAAGGAGGGAAACACACGTGCATGTTCTTTTCCGTGGTTTTTCTTTGTAGTTTCCCCCACTTTGGAATTTGTTTCCCATTTTTCCCTCTACTAGTTTGGAAGTTACTGTTTTTTCTCTGGAGGCCTGTCAAAACCATAGGTCCTGGCTTGTAACTATCAAGGTATGGCTAGAAGATCCGGCTAGGGAGAAAGCCAACTCTGCAGTGCCCACCCATCTCTCCAGAAAATCAGCACTCCCTCCCTCTCCCTCCCTCCCTCTCCCTCCTTCCCTCTCCCGCCCTCTCCCGCCCTCTCCCTCCCTCTCCCTCTCCCTCTCCCTCCGTCTCCCTCCCTCCCTCCCTCCCTCTCTCCCTCCCTCCCTCTCTCCCTCTC